TAGGATAAGAATATGAACATGTTCTTGCATGAGGCCCATTATGTGGACTTCTTCCCTCTTACATTTGTACCTTGATTGAAAAAAACCACTGTCTCTTACTCCATCCGCTCTCAAGACTTTTTGATGCTTTCTGTTCCATTTGCTGCGACTGAAATGGGAAGAAAGTCTTTTATCCATTCTGCACCTTCTACATGGAATACACTGCAGAAAGACTGGAAACTGTCTGAGTTGATTTCACTGAGTGCTTTTAAATCAAAACTGAAAGGTCTTGATACTGACTCCATAAATTGTACTTGTTGTTTTTAATTTGGTTTAATTTAAATCTTTTCATGTTTTTCTATTTGATATTTTTAAACTTGTTTTAAGATGTGAAACTATGTGTTGCATTTTTTAACACAACAGTTGAAGCTGCTGCAGATGGTCATAATCACGCCCACAGAGTGAGGGACACACTGAAATGGACACACACACTGAGCAGAACCAAACAGAACTGAATAGAGTAGACCCGTTCTGATGGAGAACGGGCTTTTGTGTGTCCTCCAGGTGTTTCTCATTTATTCCTCATTAGTGTGTCGTTATGTTGAGACTTGTTGGATCATTGGGCTGTCTACCTCAGCTTGTGTCTCTTCACCTGCTTTGCGTTCCTTGTTGATATTAGCAAGTCTTTTGCTGCCCTCTCAACATTTTATTTGTAAATAAATACTTTGTTGATTAGCTCCAACTTCACCTGTTCCCTGCTCATCAGAACTTCTCCCCTGCAGATTCTCTTTGATTAGGAATTCTTTATGCAAAAAAAATATCACATCAGCAAGATTCAATGTCTTCAAGTATAACCAGACCTTTAGTCCTTGTGTAAGGTAGAATTTCTCTTTTAGAACAGGAACAATTAAGACATTTATGATGATAAAACTTTGATTTGGAAAAAGGAAAGAGATGATGAGTGGAAGGAAAAAAGAGAAAGAGAATGAAATTGATTAGCAGTGCCCCTGGTTTCAACAGATTAAACATTTTATTAATGCTTGATTATTTATTTGAAATGTATGATAGGTTCTTAAATCCCAGCAGTTATAAGCTGTCTTCTGCTTTACTGGATTACTCATTTGTGGAGTTAACAGCAGGAACAAAGCAGAACCAAAGCCCTTCTGTTTATGTGTTAGCCAACCTCTCACAGAGAGCTTATGCAGCAGTCAGATGACTAACAGGTGTTTGTTTTGAAGCAAACCTTTCATGACTTCATTATTGTGATGCTAAAACCAAAGATTATATCTAGTCATACGACCATACACTGAAAAATTAAAAAGATTTTTGGGTGTAGTAACATTTATTTAATTATCTTTTAAATTTTACAAAAGAAATCTAAATCTCCAAACTACTAAAATTTACTAAATAAACAATACACATTATATTATATAT